CTGGTGTAGACTGCTCTGAATCTGTCATCTACAAAACGCAATTGCTTGATTTTAAGTGCTTCCTCGAAGACAGTACATTAAACATTTGCCTGCTTTCTATACCGTTTTCACTGCCCTCTGCAGATCCACAAATAACCATCAGACTGGCCCCAACCCCCAACAGTGCAGGGGCTCACTGGAAAAGGACCCACAGGGACGTTATGATCGCTGTTGTCGTGATCGCAGACCAGGAAGTGACACAGTGCCTGCTACTCCGTACGTGCTCAAGAAAAAATGAACAGGTGACAAAACAACACCGTCTCAAATGCACTCCCACTGGCCCCGTAAACGGCACCGCAATGTCCTGCCTGTCTGGGGCCTGACACTCTCCATTTCTTCCTCGCCCCGTCCGTCAGCGCCCCCACTCCGCTCAGAACTCATCCACCCGCTAGCCAGGGCTGGGGTCCCTCCCCGGGAATGGGGTCCGTCACCTCCAGGAGCTTGGCTATGAGGGCTGCGTAGAGCACCGACAGGGGTCCCAGAAGCTGCGGGTCCCCCGGGGAAGTGGTGACAGAAGGCACAGTAGCAGGTACTGAGTCCATTGTGTGGGGGCAGCTAATCCGAGGCGACGCTTCGCCGTGGCACGGCACTGGAGCCCCTCTGTGGTCACCGTTTCCTCCTTCGGGAAGGACCCAGCTTACGGGGCGGTACAGGGAGTGAACTTCGCCTTCCCCGCCTGGAGCACTTTCCGCCCTACGCCTCCAGTGAGACACGTCACCAGACCCTGCCCCCGGGGCGAACGCCGGGCCGCAGTGGGTGGGGCCACGGCGGAAGAAACCAATGGTGAGGCGAGGCGGGGGGGGGCGGAGGGGAAGAGCCAACAGACCTGCGCGGAAGAAACCAAGTGCAGGGAGGCGGGGAGTAACGAGGCTCATGTGCTTTCAAACTGAGACAGAGAAAACGCGGTTTTGAGGAGGCTCCGGAGCTACGAGTATGGGCGGAGACGGGAAGAAAGGCCGACTACTCACGCCTGCCCAGCGCTGGACCCTTTGTCACTGCGTGCCGAGGCATCAGGCACCTGTCCTAAATGCCCAGACAGGACAGTTGGAGAATTTTCTCCCGCTCCCCGGGAAGGACCACACCGGGCAGCCTTCCTGGACGAGGCCTGCCTTCCCCATTATCAGCAGTCTACAGCTCACTTTTTCCCTTCCTCACCTCCAGGCGCTCACACTGTCTCCCATTCTTGCTGATACCCCTTTAAATAGCCATATTCGAAAGGAATCAGGGCATTATCACGCCCATGCCAGTGGGTTCCGCTCCTGGGTCCCACATTTGATGGTTATGTGACTTGTGGAAAGGAACAAGGATTATGAATCGATAGTCTGGAAATCACGTTTCTAAACGTTGAAGAAACGGGGGACATTAAACTGGAGGGAAAAAAAAACAATTTTTGCAGATCTTTAAAGGTATGTCTCTGATTTGAATGTAAAGTCAATTCAGAACAATAAAGCAAGAGCAAGTAGGGAAATCCTGAAAAATAAGGAATGGAGGGGGAGAGGGGAGGTGAAGGCAGGCTCTGTAATTAAAACGGTATCGTACTGGTCCAAGACAGACAGATCATGGAACAGAATTGAAAATCCAGAAAAAGAACCTACAGCATTGGAAGTTTGGGATACAATAAAAATCAGTTGGGGAAAAAGACTGTAGT